GCTGGTGTCTTCCCAAAGGAGTATTTTCCTGTAAGTGAACTAGTCCCTACTTCCCAGGCTGTTGTAGCTGCAGATAGTGCCCTGTCTTCGGCACTTGCCCCTACTTACCTGCGGGCAGAATGGTTAAGATGTGAATCGTTCATGCTTCCCACCCTAAAATCTGTTTCCGATTAGAATAAAATGGTCCTGTTGTCACGGCCTCCACATCTTCTCATGATTCTGTTCCCACCACACACCCTCGCACCCGCACGCCTGCTGTTGGTCTCTGCTCTGAATGCCTATTCCCTCATTTCATTCAGGTTTCTGCTTCACTGTCTCCTCCCGAGCCCTTCTCTGCTTGCTGTATCACGGTGGCATCTCTCTGCCTCACCCAGTGTGTTTGGCTGTGCCTCCTTACTGCTTTCTCACGCATCACATCTGTTCCATCCTCTTCATTCCTCACCTCTCCCACAGAAGCTTCATTCCTGCATCTGTGGCACTTCGAACAGAGGTGCTTAGTAAACACACACAAGTGACTGAGGCCTGAAAAAGACAACTTTTACCAACAGAATCCACAAACAGCATGTTTGAACTTAGAAGACAAAATTTGCTTGCTTCCAAATTGAAGATAATAGGTCTGTGTGTGTCTGTGATTACATAACGGCATAACTAGAACTGCCTTTTGCATTAATTTCCCTTGTGTTCGCTCATATCTTTTTAAACATGCATTTATACCACTAACGGGATTTTATGTGAAAAATGATAGAACACTAGGCCTCAGGTGAAACAGCTTCTTACATTAAAAATGCCATATCAAGCTGGGTGGTGCACTCCTGTAATCTCAGGAGTGGGGAGAGCATGGTGGTGCACTCCTGTAATCTCAGTATTCAGGAGGCTAAGACAGAAGGATTGCTGTGAGTTTAAGGCCAGCCTGAGACATGAGTATCACTGTAAGTTCAAGGCCAGCCTGAAATGAATGACAAGATCCTGTCTCAGAAAACAAATAAATAGCCAGCGATATTTAGTATATCAACTAATAGGTTAGGATTTAGCCATCCTAATGAGCACCAACCATTGGCTGCCATAAGCTGCTTTCTTACTAAACATGCGCAGGTCTACCTTAGAGTAGGTTACTGATCTCCAGCTTATATAGGACTATATCTTACTCATATTTAATATCTTTGAATACCTAACATATGTAAAAAGTATGGTAGACACTCAATAATTACATCATCATATAGTTTGATTTTGTTTTTCTGGTGCCAAAGATAGAACCCAGAACTTTGCACATTGCAAGTAAGTCTTATACCACTGAGATACTCTGCCAACCCCTAATGTAGTCTGTTACGTGTTGAATTTTTTTAGCCAGGTGTGGTGCTGCATGGCTGTGGTTTCAGTACTCTAGGAGGCTGAGACAAGAGGATCAAAGAGTTTGAGCCCAGTATGGGCAACTCAGTGAGACCTTGTCTCAAAGAAAAAAAAAAAAATAGGTAGGTTTATAGCTCTTTCAACCCCCAGTGTCACCAAAAAAAAAAAAAAAATTGAATTTCCTTATGTACCCACTAACAAGTTACTTGCTAAGGTGGACATGGTAGCACACACCTATAGTTCCCAGGTATTTGGAAGGCTGAGGCAGGAGTTGCATCAGTTCAAGGCCAACTTGGGCAAAATAATCAGAATCTGTTTCCAAAAAAGTTACTTTCTTATCAGTACCAATAAATAAATTCATTCCCTTCAAAAGACTATACTACAATATTAATTTGTCTAAAAAAGGACAAAGTAATTTTGATATCTTATTGGAGTATTTGTAGTACAGTAGTAATTAAGAGAGAGAAAGAGAGACTTACAAAAGTGCTGTTGCCCCTTCCTGAACTTTGAAGTTAAGTATTCCTCTCTGCTTTTTAGGGGAAGGGTTTCTTAGGAATTAAACTTTGAGATATGATAATGGATCCTGCACTTTTAGGGAGCCCCAGCTCCCCGGCTGCAGTCAGCTGTTAGAAATCCACCATGCATTTGGCCAGACCTTGTTAACCGAGGCCTGCTCCCTGCCAGTGGCTGAGCGCAGGCCACTGCTGAGGTAGGCTGTTCTTGAGAGACCTGGGTGGTTGTCTTCCCAGCAGCCTAGCCTAACTTTTCTTAGAGGACTGCCATCTAGGAAGCTGCTCACCAGCCTTTCTTTCTCTTTCCTGTCACATGGCAGGTGTTCCTTGTGATACGAGACTCCTCTTTCTCTTTCATCTTATTCTCTTATAGCCGTCTCCCTTAGTGAGATCATGTATCTTTCATCCCATTTCCTCTCTTGGCCTCAGCTTCTTGGAAGACTAGACCAACAAAGTTGGTAAAGTAATGCCAAAAATAAACTGGCAGTTGTTACTTCAGTATCACTAGTGGTTTTTTTGTTTGTTTTTGTAGTGCATACCAGCTCATTTTTGTTCTTTTTTGGATACAGGGTCTCACTAAGTTGCCAGGTTACTCAGGCTGAGTTGAACTTGAAATTCTTCTGCCTCAGCCTTCCAGAGTTCTGAAATTACAAGCATGTGTCACCATGCCCAGCCAATTTTTTAAAATAAGAAATTGATATTTGGTTTATATGAGCAACTCAGTAGATATTATTTCTTTCTGTTTTAGTTGTATGCTTGAAGTTTACATTTTTTAGAAGTCTGATATCTTGCTATCCAGATTAAGTAGGTACCATAATTTTACCTCTTTATAAGTTTTTAATTGTACTAGAAATTTTTTTCTTTTGGTTTAGTTTAGTTTGATGTTTTTGGTTTTTTGAGAAAGTCTCACTATGTAGTTCAGGCCTCAGCCTCCCCAATGCTGGGATTATAGGTGTGCACTACCATGCCTGGCTGGAATATTTTTTTTAGTTAACATTTTTAAAACAATTAGCCACTGGTTGACCTTCAGAAACTTTGTTATAGAGATTTCTGATTTTCTACCTGGTTGTAATCAGTAACTACCCTGATATTTGATTATACTAGTCAAGTGCTATGTAGACTTTTGTGCATATTTTGAAAACACCTCACCATTTTATAAATCGGGGATTGTTGCTGTATTTAATATGAATTGCATATTTAAAAGACTGTTTGCCTTTTTTGTTTGTAAGCTCTATATGAAAAAGCTGATATTAAGGTACCTGAAGACAAGAAGAAACACCTTCTCATCGGTGTGTCCTCAGATCGAGGGCTTTGTGGTGCTATTCATTCCTCAGTCGCTAAACAGATAAAAAATGAGGTGGCCACACTCACAGCAGCTGGAAAAGAGGTCATGATCGTTGGAATTGGTGATAAAATCAGGGGCATACTTTCCAGGCAAGTTAAATATATGTTGTTCATGTTCAGGAGGTAGTAGGCATTAAGTAAATGGAGGCATCTTTGATATTAAGCAACATCTTTTTTTTGTATACTTAGAGATTGTGTTTTGTTTTTATATTTTTGAGTACATATTAAAATATACATAATTTCCCCACTTTTTTTTTAATGCTTTGCATAATTGAATACAGTGGAAATAACCTAAGCTATGGGCACTAAGCCAAACAAGGACTTTGAGGAGCTGTCACAGCCTGGAAACAATAGTTCCAGAAAGGAACAATAGTTCATTGGTATTAAAAGGAGAAAAATAAAGAGAATATAAAGTAACAAAGGTGAAAGTTTTAGTCCTTAGTCATTTGCTGAAGGAAAGGAATAAGGATAATGTATAAAACAACTTAACTCAGACAACCATCGCCACCCACATCCTCCCAAAAAACTTGATCTGGCCGGGCATGGAGGTGCATACCTGTAATCCTCAGCGCGTGGGAGGGTGAGGCATAAAGATCACCATGGATCCAAGGCCAGCCTGGGCTATATAGTGAGTTCAAGGCCAGCCTGAACTGTATAGCAAGATCCTGTCTCAAAAAATAAAATCTTGATCTATCATGATGTTTTTGCCTTGTTCCCTATATTCTTTCAACACAAGCATTCTATTAATTTATGTGATTTTTAGGACTCATTCTGACCAATTTCTGGTGACATTCAAAGACGTGGGAAGAAAACCTCCTACTTTTGGAGATGCATCCGTCATTGCTCTTGAATTACTAAATTCTGGATATGAGTTTGATGATGGCTCTATCATTTTTAACCGATTCAGGTAAGAAACTTTTTTTCTTTTATATTTGTGTTTTAAAAATAACTATTTTGAGATTTATATTTGCTTTTGTCATTTCTAGGTCTGTTATCTCCTATAAGACAGAAGAAAAGCCCATCTTTTCTCTTAATACCATTGCAAGTGCTGGTAAGTGTTTTTTATATGACAAGTATGTTTGGATTTGGAAAGGAGAAATTGTGTACTTTAAAGAAAATACTGTTCATCAGGATGCCAGTTACCTTTGGGAGCTGTTTAAAGGAGCACTGTGTGTTAGTGGCTTCCATACCTTACTCCAGTTGTTGTTTGACAGGTGCTACCCTGTTTTTTTCATGAACTGAACAAATGTGTCTACTGAGAGCTATGTTTCCTGTTCTCCAGGGTTGAAGTGCCTCACTGGAAACTGGCTTTACAATCTGTGTATGTGAACTCTTTAAGTACAGTGCCACCAGAAGCTCTAGAGTAGAGCTTTGAACAGTGTTTACAATGGATTTACATTGGCCACTCAAATCTTATTTTGTTGTTTGAATAAAATTATCTTTGCAGTGAAGCATCCTAAAAATAATACTCTGGAATTTATTTTTTCCAAGTTTTTTTCCCTCAATTATATGTACCATATTTCCGTTTTGTGTGTATTTTTTACATTTTAATGTCTTTGAAATTACAATGCCTCAATTACCCAATGATAGGCCACACTTTTCGTTCTGTTTTTTTTTAAATTATTATTGAGTGCTCACACCAAATACTGCTAGATGCTGTTCAGTGGATGTCACAGCAATGAAATGTAGTAGCCGTTTTAAATGTCAGCTTCTTAATATTTCAGTTAGATTTCTGAAGCAGAACTTCAGATGTTTGGTTGTCACATTAGTTTGCTGAATAAGAAACAATCAGACAGATTGTTTGACTTTTTTTTTTTTGTGGTACCAGGGATCAAACTCACGACCTTGCACTTGCCAAGAAGGCACTTATGCTGCTAAGCTAAATCCACAGCCCCTATTTGACTTACCTTAAAATGGTTTCTGCTATATAAGAATTTTTGTAGTAGTGAGTTGTTCCTGATGAAATCAGTCTTTGCCCCATTGAACTTTTTTTTTTTGGTCTTTTTCGTTTTTTGTCCGTACCAGGGATCGAACTCACGACTGCCTGCTTGCAAGGCAGGCGCTTATGCCGCTGAGCTAAATCCCCAGCCCCTGCCCCATTTAACTTGAACTTCTTTTAACAGAGAGCATGAGCATCTATGATGATATTGATGCCGATGTGCTGCAGAATTACCAAGAGTACAGTCTGGCCAACATTATCTACTACTCCCTGAAGGAATCTACCACCAGTGAGCAGAGTGCCAGGATGACAGCGATGGACAATGCTAGCAAGAACGCTTGTAAGTGCGCTATGGTGACTGCGCTAACACTGGCTGGGTCACTTGGCACAGGGCCAGCACCAGGGAGCACTGGTGGAAGCTCACAGTGTTTCTCTGCTGAGTGTCTTCCTCGGAGTAGTTTTAAAAATGCTAACCAAGTATTCTGTGCCTCAGAGAATATATCTTACTTCATAGGTAGTAGACTTGTAAGAATGTGAAAAGCCTGTGAAAGATCTTTGTATAAACTTGGTTCTGAAAGGCCACTTTGGGAATCCAAAAAGAAATTGTCTTTTTTTCTCTTTTTGTGGTACTGGAGATTGATTTGATCCGTGGCTTTTGCACTAAGCTAAATTCACACTTTTTTTATTCCTTCAATTTTTGTTCTGAGACAGATCTCACAAAATTGTGTTGGCTGGGCTTGAGCTTGCCATCCTCAGCCTCCTACAGGGCTAGGATTACATATGTATACCACTGGTCCAGCTCTTCCTTTACATTAAGCAACAAGGTTGGTTAACTAGTTGTTCTCTTCTGCTTTTGGATTTTGTCATCCAGTCTTTGTGTTTTATTTGCAGCTGAGATGATTGATAAATTGACTTTGACATTCAATCGCACTCGCCAAGCCGTCATCACCAAAGAGTTGATTGAGATCATCTCTGGTGCAGCAGCTCTGTGAGTAACTGAATTGTTACCCTTGGGTGTTTTCTCGTCTCCTTTGTGCACCTTTAACCTTTGCATGCAGATGTTTTCTGTTTTTTGTGTTTGTTAAAGTGAAAAGGATTCATTGCTGAATCTTGACTCTTTAGGCTCTCTGGTTTATTCTGATTGTTTCAACTGAAACGTTGAGGCTTCTCTTCTTTTTAGGGATCAGTATATTGTTAGCTTTCACTTTCCTAAAGTGTTAGAAATAAAGATGTAAATAATTCAGTACCATTTGTATGTCTGTCTTTGGAATTTAAAGCATTGCAGACCACGCTGTCTGAATTTTAGGACTACTTTTACATTTGGTTTTTTAAACCACTTAATAGTGTTAGGGTCCAGGAATTTTTAAAATCATTTTCCCTATATTAGAACTATAAGATAATACAGCTTTCCTCAAGAAAATGTTGTGATTGTTAAGACATTGTTAATGTTTGTGAAACAAAAGGTAACATCATGACAATTTCATTCAAAAGTTAGTAAGTTGAATATGTGCAGAGTGCAATGCTGGGCACAATGTTTAGGATTTGATTCTCTTTCAATAGGTTGAGAAAGCACAGGGTAACTGATGAAAGATAAAATGTATAGTGAGTTATCTTTGATTCATTCCATCTTACTTCTTCCTAATTGGTCATGTACTAGATACTGAAGCTATAATGCTGACAGTCTTTGTTTTCTGGGAGCTAAGTCTTAACTGAGAAGACAAATAACTAAATAATAAATTACACAGCAAACTGTAGCACAGAGCTACATTTGAAAAGTTTATTAAAGTAGGGAAGGGGCAGCAGTATGTGACCCATGGGCCTAAACTACAGTATTCACAGAAAAGAAAATTGCTGATCTTTGAGAGTATATTATGAAGAAAGTAACAGAACTTGTTCTTTAGAATATGATGGTTCTACAGAAACAGCCTAGCTTCATGTATGTGGGCATATATTTTCTGGCCATCAGTACTCTTTTCAGTCTAATCCCTCACCATTTCTGGCTTACTTAATCCTCAGCCACCTTGATCTACATCTAGGTCTCCAAATCTGCTCCAATTCTTCTCTCATCTCCAAGGAGGTGCCCGGGACTTCAAACTTTTTTGTACTTTTTGAAATCACGATCCTGCTAAGTCACTAAATTGCCCAGGCTGGACTAAACTGTAATCATCCTGCTTAGCCTCCCAGAGTCCTGGGATTGTAACTGTTCTTTTGCTTTGATTCCTTTCTCTTTCCTTTCTCTTGCTTTGATTCATCTGAGAGCCTCCTACTTACCCTTCCTAACTGGGTTAGGGGAACCTTTTCTTCTACCAGACACTCCTTCATGTTTGAGCAAGGTATTCTTATCCCAGTGCCTCTGTTATTTTTACACTTCTTACATTATTTCAGGAATTGCCTTTTAATTTGATCATATGCTTGAGACTAGGGTAGGATCTCGTTCTAAAACTAACTGAAAGCCAGGCATGATGGCACACGCCTGTAATCCCAGCATCTAGGAGGCTGAGGCAGGACTGCTGTGCTTTTTTTTTTTTCTTTTGACTGCTGTGATTTTGAGGCCAGCCTGAACTGCATAGTGAAACCCTGTTTCAAAAAAACAAAACAAAACAACAAAAAAACCTAATTGAGCCAATGGAGGTTATTGTGTAAGTTGCTAGTCGACCTCATCAGCTCTGCAATCGTAAGCATTTTTCCTTCTCTTACATTGTTTCCTAAGCATGGTTTTCTTAGGAGAATCCAATCACTTGATCTGTGCACAAGTGTTCTATTGGTGTCTTAAATATTGTTTCATGATGTTTCATGATGTCCAGCATGGTTGGCTTGGTTGAGACTCTGTAGTGAGGCTTTGTCACCTTAAACAGACAAAGCTAGTCACTGTTAAGTCCTGTGCTGTTGTTAGGCTGATTTCTGCTTGGATGCTAAATTTGAGAAGGCCTAGGGACTGTGACGAATCCAGAGAAATCATAGTTCTTTTTGGCTTTTGCAAAACCAGTATTAGGTTTGGACTGTAGGATACAAGTTCTGCAAAACTCAGGACCAGGCTCTTCTTTCTTGATTAAGAGAGTAGAAATCTTACTAAAAGTAACAAAATCAAGGGAAATGAGAGGGTGGGGGAATTAGGACATAAAACTATTATTTAGAAAAAGGAATTCAGACAACTGAAAATTACCTATTAAATTTTCACTGTCTAGAAAAGTAGTCTGCTTCCTTATTTTTAAAGTTAGTTGTGTAGTCTAAGGTTGTATTATTTATATGAGTGGACTTACGTGCTTTGTAACCTGTTTATTTTTATGATTTGAAATTTTAATATTTAATGCTGATACATATTACTAGTAGTAAAATTAAAAGCGTGATTAATCATAATATTTGGTGACAAGTATACCAGTTTCAAATCTCTTAATGTATGTTCCTTATAGAAAAAATAGTAATTTAAATTATATCTTCAGCCTACCTATTTGCATGAATATATTTTTATTGCTTCTAACCAGACTGGAATCTATAACTTTTTATATCATTGAGATGGTTTTAAAGGAATGTTATGGTTAAGTATTTATATGATATACTTAAGGTAGCATCTAAAGAAATGACTGTGATTAACTTGCATGGGATGCCTCTTGACCTGCTTGTTTTGTGTTTTTCTTCTAATATAATAACCAGGGATTAATGAAAGTCAAGTTCCATCCTCAGACAAGAGGTAAAGTTCACTCACCCTTCCCATTCACCTTCAGAAAGGAAACCTAGACAAATATAACTGAAGTTAATTTAGCAATAACAAAACTGCTTTTCTAAGCCGGGCATGGTGGCACACGCCTGTAATCCCAGCACTTGGGAGGCTGAGGCAGGAAGACTGTTGTAAGTTCAAGACCAACCTAGGGCTACAAAGTAAGCTCAAGGCCTGCCTGAGCTGCATGGTGAGACCCTGTCTCAAAAAGACCAAAAAAAAAAAAAAAAGAATGAAAGAAAGAAAATGCTTCTCTAAGAGATTTCAGATTGGTAGGCCAATTTATAGCAGCAGCTATAAAGTGGATGCACTATTAATGGATGCACATGGGCAGTACTAGTGGATTTTGTTTGTTTGCATTTATTAAATACATTGGTCGTAGAAAATATAAATGTAGGATATAAGCTTTAAGGATAGAGAGCATTATCTTGAAATATTAATTGTAGTTTAGTGAAGGTGGTTCTCAAACTGAATGGTCTCAGATCCCTTTAATGTCTAATTTAAAAGAAGCACCTAGATTCTCGACTCTTTACCTATTTTCTTGTGATGTCATATATCTTGAGCAAAGTAATTGTGTACTCTGTGAAAACAACAAGAATATCAGACAACAGTATTCTTATGAACCCATGAATGGGTCCACAGCCCCAAATCTGAGAACTACTGGGACATTTTATAAATATTTTTAGTTCTTTATACCCCATTTAAATGTTACCTCTTAATATTATTTTCACCCCCAAAACTAAAGTTTGATTTTTACTTGTACTGTACTTTCTTTTTCAGGTAAAGAAGAAAATTCAGCAAGTTGATTTTGTTTTTAGCTTACTGCTGTTTTTGTCAGAAGAAACGTGGTCCACTGTTTGAATTACTAAAGACAGCAAGATGTTTATAAATTACCTTATAATAAACAACTTACAATAAGAAAATCACTTTTGTTCATTTGTTATTTATTTTTGGTACCAGGGATCAAACTCATGACCTCGCACTTGACAGGTAGCTACTTGTGCCACTGAGCTAAATCCCTGTAGCTGCACTTGTAGAGAACACTGCCGTGCGCTCCATGTTTTCAGCTGGACTTGTGCAGGACATTGCCATGGGATCCAGGCCAGCAGTTGAATTTTTTGGGTTTCCAGTGTGTGGACAGATTTCTTGTGCTCTTCTGCATTTGACTTTTAGAGTGAATATTATAAAATTATCATAAAGTATGTATCCTGTATCAAATCTATTCCCTTGTAAACTCTAACACTTACAATGGATTGAACACAGCAATACAGTAGCAGGCACAGACCTGTAAAGTGAGCAGTGCTGCTTCTAATGTACAGGATGCAGGAAGAAACTGGTGGATGCTTGGTTGTCCTGTAGCTCCCTGAGAGTTCTGAATGGGTTAGTGACAGGCTGTGAGGAACAGGTCACAACTAAGACCCTAGGTGGTGGGGTAGTACAGCAGTTAGAGTGAACCTGCCCCAGGACTGGTAAAGTGCTCTTTCGGGGATGTCTAGGTGAATCACAAAGGTGTGACCCTGGGTCAACATCTGGTCCCTTGTTCCTTTTCTAGTATTGCTGCTTTCCTGTTTGTCCTCTACTACTATGTTCCTGCCTTGCAGTCAGCTGATTGGACAGAAATCATGAGCAGAATTAAATCTTGCAAGTTGTAGGTGTGGTGGTGTCCAGGCAACTGGAGAACTGCCTCATCCTCATAAGCCACTGGGATTACAGCAGTTTGCCACCACACACCTGATGTCTGAACTTTTGTATGATTCTTCAAAAATCTGGGGGTTTTTTTGATGGTGCTGGTGCTGTGGATCAAACCCAAGGCTTTGAGTATGCTAAGCATGCTTGCTACCACTGAGCCATATCATCTGTCCCTTCTGAAAGCTTTTAGGTCTGTCCTCATTATTCTCAAAGTTCAAAGCACTAATCCTTGTATGGATCCTTTTTATACACTTTGTTGAACACTTACGCCTTTAGCTATGGAAACAAACAAATAAAAATCTATAATCCAGGGACTTTTTCTCTTGTGCTGGATTGAACCAGGACCATCACACTGAGCTTTATCCTCAGACCTTATTTTCAAACAGGGTCTCACTAAATTGCCCACACTGAGCTCAAATTTTCAATCCTCCTGCCTCAGTCTTCCACAGTGCTGGAATTATAGGGATATATACCACACTCAGCTTCCACACTGATGGTTTCATCAGTTATTTCATTAATGTGTTGATTTTGTGCTTTCCATTTTCTGAAACACCTGTTCATCTTCTGTTCTTTGGGTTTTCCGTCTCTCTCTCTCTCTTTTTTTTTTTTTTCCTACTTTTTCTGAACTTTGTAATTCTATTTTTTGCTCTCTGGGAATTCCTTTTAAATAGTTCCTTAAGATACTGATTTTACTTATTTTGATGTTATCTCTGCAAGGTGTCTAGTTTTCATGCCCTAATGGATTGGCAAGCTTTTTCTGTGAAGGGTAGGTACCGTTTTTAGGTTTTCTGGAATCCACAGGGTCTCTGCTGCATATTCTTTGATTCTTTTTTCATATAAACCTGTAGAAAAATATAAAACATTCCTTAGTGTATTGGCCCCAGTTTGCCTGCCCACTCTTGTTCCAAGCTCCCCTAGATGCCTGGGGATCCATGTTTGTCTTCCTATGTTGAAGAATGATTAGAAGCTCTTAATTTATGAGTAAGGCTTTCTCTGGGAGCTTCACTAGGGTGACCTAGGTCACTTATTGTTCACCTCTCCTGCCAGCATCTTTAGGTCTCTCCTTGTCTGCTCTGATTCAAACTCAATCAGAGAATGAAGGCTTGAAAGTCAGCAGGCAGGAACCAATTCTGGTGGGGAAGTGGCTAAAAGAATTTCAGCACCCCCTTTTCCAGCCAGCACAGGTATCATCAATATTTAAAGGACCTGATAGCCTAGGTGCTTGCTTCTCTCCAAAGAATAAGCTTATGGGCAGCTGCCAAGGTCAGGGTAGCTATCACCTAAAGCTGCCATGTAGGGGAAAGAATCCAGAGTGAAAATTATTGCCATTTCCTGTTGTTTCCTCTTTAGTTCTCTTAGCTCTTGTGAATTTATCTTTTAAGAAGAAACAAACCCCCTTGAAGTTTCAGTAGTGTATGGGATGAATGAAATTGGGTATGTGTGTGTTTCATTTAGAATACCAGTGGAAATCCAGGTAAGGATTTTTACAACATAGGCATTGTATTATGCATTAACTTTAGACTTGACATTCTGCATTGATAGAGAGCCTACTTACTGATGGACAGAAGGGTTCCCAGTGTTCTAGTACTTTCCAAGTGCTGAATGAGCAGCACTCTTGGGCAAGTATTTGTACAGTCGCATTTGCATAGATTTAAGTTATTAGAGATGGAATTGATGATTCAATCTACGTACATTTAAAAGTTTAGTAGAGCTGAGCGTAGTGACACTCCTGTAATCCCAGCACTTGGAAGGCTGAAGCAGGAGGATCATTGCAAGTTCAAGATCAGCCTGGGCTACAAAGTGAGCCCAAGGCCAGCCTGAACTGCATAGCTAGATTGTCTCAAAGAGACAAAAAAATAAAATGAAAGTTTAAAACACACTGCCAAGTGAGACTCTAAATTTGAATCTTAAGTGAGAATGAGTCTTCCTACTCTAAACTCTTATCTGTAATCTTTAACAGTATGGTGGGTGAAAAAACATTTATTCCCCTCCCTCCACCCCCATGGAATGGAGGTTAAACCAAGAGCCTTTGCACTAAGTACATCTCTAGCCATTTTTCAGTTTTCTCAGATAAGGTCTCGCTAAATTATCCAGGTAGGACTAGAATGTAGGATCTTCCTGCCTCAGCCTCCCAAGTGCTTTACTGGCTGGCTGCCCTTTTTAAAAACAGCTTTTCTCATTAAAATATAAGTCCTCTTCACATCAGTGCATTTAATGTAGCATTTTGTAAGCTGGCAACATACTGTGGCTATGATTAGATAAGTGCATTGTCGAGACTTCTGGGAGAACATGGCGGATAGATAACAGCAGCTATGGAGGCTCTCTGAGTTAGCCAGCTTAGAATCCAGGAATGGTGCGGTGTGAGGAGTCCTAAGCAAAGGGAGATATACCCTGCCGACCCAGGAATGAACTAAGCTGAGAGAAACCAACTGGAAATGCAATCCCAGTGCTATACCCAGAACAGATAAAATCTCAGCGCTGAAGCTGGAACCCGCGATTTGAATTGCCTGCCGCCACCTGCTGCCGCTGCTGCATCTGAATTGGCACAGCAGGGACAGAGACACGAAAGCTCTGAGAGTGGGAATCAGCAAACCGAATTGAGAGCAGGACTGGTGGGGAGCCCTGCATCAACCTATGGTGAGTGAGAGGAACGGGGACCTTTCCATAGACTAGGAGGGTCCAACAGAGGACATTCTGGGACAGGGCAGACTAGCCAGAACAGGACGCTGCAGTGACTTTAGTCGCATATTTCCCTCTCAAGCGGGATTGGTGGGGAGCGCTTGGCCTGGGTGAGCCTTGGACTAAGACCCAGTAGGCTAGCCCAAACTAGGTCCCACCACCTGGTGGTGCACCCTAGCAGTGAAGCCTTCAGTAGATTGACTAACCTGGAGGGGCAGGCCCAGCAGAGGCTGCCCAGGTCTGTGTCTCCTTAGTACAGTGCAGTGGGCAGGAACACCTAGCCGGCACAATTCAAACAAACTGTAACCCACAAAGAAAGAAATTGGGCCTCCTATATATGCTTATATGGAAGGAAGAAAAAGTATGGGAAGAGGGAGCAACAAGAAAGGGTCCTCAGCCCCCAATCCTGAGAATACTGATCCAGGAAAGGTAAATGCAAAGGAGAATGAGGACAGAAAACATGCAATATCAGGCATGGCACCAACAGACAAAGCCATATCTCCAGAGCCTCATAGACAAGTTCAAAAGTGAAGTATTTAATGAAGTAAAGCAAGATACAAGTAGAATAGTTACAGAAATGCTAAGCACCGCCCAAGAAAAAACAGATGGTGAAATGGAAGAACAGAAAAAAAGGGGACAATTGTTTGATGGAGAAAATAGAGAAAACATAGAATACATGAAGCAGGTTCAAAGAGATTACCAGGAAACTAAAAACGCTATTGAAAGTTGGCATAACAGCTTGAAAGAAACGAAGGATAGATTATCTGAACTGGAGGACAGATTTGTAATGTGGGAGCAGGAAATGAAAAACTTCTTAAAAATAACAAAAACAGCAATAATACAAAGGCTAGAAGATGATAAGAGGATTTATAACTTAAGAATTAGGAACGTAAAAGAAGAAGTAGGGACAAACAAATGAACTTCAAAAGCTATTCATAGAAATAATCCAGGAGAATTTCCCTAATTTGGCAAAACGTAAAGATACTCAGATGTATGAGGCATTCAGGAGCCCAGCCACCTACAACCCAAACAGAGCTACACCCAGGCATATAATAATCAAAATTCCAGAAATACAATATAAGAACAGAGTATTAAAAGCTGTCAGAGACAAGAAACAGATCCCTTACAAGGGAACACCCATCAGAATTACAGACTTCTCAGCACAAACCATCAAATCACGAAGAGCATGGGGGGAAATAATTCAAGCTTTGAAAGATAATAACCTCCAGCCACGATTGATATATCCTGCATAACTGTCCCTAGAAATTGATGGAAAAACAAGGTGCTTCCAGGACAAAGAGGAACTAGGGGAATTTGCAACCACCAATTCAACTCTACAGAGAATACTGCAGGATATTCTAAAAAAGGAAAATACCAAGATTCCAGAAACAGTGGTAGAGAGGCCACAATGAATGGAGCAGAAAGCGAAATGAAGAAGAAAAACTGACAACAGAAATGAGGCAGAGAAGGTTGGATGTTAGGAACAGCTATTTTGGAGAAAACAAGGTATCATAATAGCTAGTGCTGATTTAGTATCATCTTGTTTTGAAGTCCCATCAAGCTTTTGTCTTCTGTCTCCATTGGTCTTAACAGGTTGTATCTTATTGGATTTTATTATATGTGATAATATAAACAAAAACTTTTATCGACAAGATTATATAGAAACCACTGTTCATTTTCTGTTAGTTGGTTCTAAATACCCTGTGATATTGTCATTCTTTTGAATGGTTTTACATTGTCTTGTTATGTTTGATGCTACAGTATACGAAGTTATAATCAAAGATTTCAAGGAAAGAGACACTATGGGAACTACTTTTATGTCAGGATATCTGGTGGTGAAACACTATTTTGCTTAAATAGTTATGTTTTGACCTGTGCTGTTTTGTTGTTATGTCTTCTTTTATCTCAATCTCCTTTTTTAATTATTTTTTCTTTTTAATTAAGGAAAAAATAAATAAAATAGAGCAGGATATATTATAGTAACCCACTTTGATTTCCTATTAACTTGATTTGAAACCCTGTATTGCTCTCATCGTCTTGTTTTGACTGATTTTCCTCTATTCTGTTTTGCTTGATAATACCAAGTTCTAGAGTATAGGCAACAACTGTGAAGACAATAAGATTCATTATGATGCCCAGTCTGGTTTGACTATTATCTTCTTTTGAAGTCCTGTAATGTCTCCAATGTTTTGGTTTTATTGGTTTTGTTCTTTATGTTTTGATCAATTTTATTATAACTGATGATATAGGCAATTTTTTTTAAGATAGCAAGAGGCATTATGGTAACCATTGTTGATTAACTTGTATTTTGTTTTTACAATATGTATTATGTCCATCCTTTTGATTTGACTGACTCTGTTTTGTTATGTCACATTTGGTTTTACTCTCTTCAAAAAAATAAGAACTGTGGGAGTAATAAAACCCAAAATGTGTAATTGTCATTGTACAAAACAGAGGAAAAGAAAGTTCTGTAAAGGATATAACTGCATGTATATTTAAGTGTATAAGATAGATAACCATTTTACTGAGTTTTGTTGGATCATTCAACAGAACTGTTTGCAGTCTCACTGTTTGAATGTCCACTTTATATGCTTTAATTTTGTAACTTGAACAACTATTTCTAAGACAACAATATGTAATCTATTAACCAGTGATTTCCTACTGTTTATTTTTTCTGAAATTCGGTATAACTTGTACCCTTTTTCTATTTTTTTTTCCTTTTTCTCCTTAAATAAAATTCTATTAAAAATTTTAAAAAAGAATGCATTGTTAAATTTTAAATTTTATTATTTTCAATTGTATTTATTTGTGGTACTGAGACTCAAGCCCAAGACCACATGCATGTTAGGCAAGCACTCTATCACTGAGCTACACCCCAGCTGTCGGGAACTAACCAGCCTGCTAGTCTCAAGTCCTCGCCCAGATGCCACCAGTGAGGAACCAGTCCACTCGTCCAAGATTTCCTCACCCCAAGGTGCCACTTGCAAGGATCTAATCTTGCTACTAGCTTGTTTCCTCTGACCCCTGGGCAAACAAGGATGAATGACAAAGAGATACTGAGTCAGTTTAGTATATGAGGAACCAGAAGGCTCTTGGCTCTTAGTAGGCATAGGAGCCCAGCGCCTGTGGCTTATCCTTGTATTCACCCAGACACAGGTACAAC